ATGTTTCGAGCTGACCCAAAATGCGGGAGGGCTTGAAGGATAATTCTATATATGCATTCAGCCATGCCCATTCCGGTTGTATTCTACCATACCAGTCCTGCACCCTTTTGAGCTCCACTGTCGATCCAAATCCCGCTGGGCGGGAAGGATTATTTTCTCCTAGAGGTGGCCAACCGTTGCCCCTTGAGTTCACCGCGGGATAATCAACATCTCTCCAGCTACCGCTTCACATATCTTTTGCTCGCGGGTGATCTTACCGCCTCAAAGGCCTCCTTGATAGAGCTGCAATGCGTCCGCCCCAGTGGACGTTTTACAGCGGCCTTGGACAAAGTCATTTAACAGAGCACTTGGACTCAAGGTGTCATCGTACCCAACAGATGCTGCTGAGGCCAATTATACCATCACTCCTGAATTTGGTCATCACCAACGAAAGACAATTCGTCGATCGGGTTTTAATTAATACTGCATGGGACATGGTGACCAACGTGTGTTGATCTTTGGTTTCAACTGCTAGTAAGCCAGAAATACCGAACGTTAAAGGTGGATTCAAAAACTATGTGTGCATACCTCTCAGAAATGTGCGTCTTTCTTGATCAAATTAAACTGGAGGAAACTATTCTTGTGTGGCGAACATGCTCGTATTTATGGACAGATGCACGCAAGCGAAGGAGGATGAATTCATAACGGGTGGCGTAAATTTTGACTTCTCGAAGTGATTGTTAGATCGGCGAATGAAGAAACGCAGCTCATTGTCATTTGAAGGACACTCGCCGAGCGTCTTTGTCGGGCATTGTAAGAATGAACCAGAAGACATCACAAGATTAGGCGCCAAAGAGGACATCGGTATCCGGCTCTCTTCAAACATCTCTTAGTCACTGCATCATGAAAAATCGGCTCAAAAGACACGTTATTTTACAGATGCTTCGGCGCTCCTTCTCCCGTGTTACTCGCCTGGAGTTCCAGATATTCCATGAAGCCCATATGAGACCGCATTTTGAATACGCCAACAAAGTTTTCTACTCAGGCCGAAAGGAAGGCGAAACCCTCATCAAGCACGTCCAACGAGCAGCTACAAAACTTGATGCTGGCTTAAATCTGTTGAGGATAAAACGCCGTGCTTAATCTCCTTCGACTGCCAGCGGCTAGAGGCACAACGTATTTTTCTGCAAAGCCCCTGCTTGCGAAATAAAAACTAACGTCAAAATGTTGCACTTCTTTGCATATATGCGTAGACTGAAAACCCCCCTCATCTGCCCTCATTTTTTAGCGATTTGTTTTAATCGATCTCTTCTGAAAATTATTGGTGCACATTTGGCATTGAACCTCGTCTGCTATGGCTTCGGAAGTGGCTTTCTTTGAGAAATTTGTGGGTGTATCTTTTTCATCCTTCACGGCATTTGAAAAGACCTTAAATGAATACATGAAAGATAACTTTGTGATATTTGTGCGTTCATCCAGTAATCGAGGCACCAACACTATTTTGCGTTACGAATGGGAGCATTACAAATGCAGCAGGCGCCCCCCAAAACCAACGGAAAGCCGTGGAATCCGAAGGAGCTAGTAAGCCGAGCGTATTTTCTAATAAGAAAAGTACGCGAGGCACCAGCTGTCCAGTGCGGTTTTGTCTACGGAGGCAAAGGAACCAACTGGCAGTGACCTCTTATTTTCTG